TGAGTGAAAATCAATGCACAATGTCACTTTGCATTGTTTAATACTGGAATTTGTTTTGATCGGTTTTAAATTCTCCAGGATAAACACACCAACATGCACGTAGTCACTTACACCGTTTCATTTTTGGTCATTTGCTTTATAGGTGTACAGTGTTTCCCACAGAATGACAGTGTAACTGTGGCGGGGGGGCGTGTGCGCGTGCATCGATATTGACTACCAGCTATAAACAGCGTGCTAGTCTCCAAAGTCCAGCTGCATTATAACATTAACTAAGCTCTCCTTATTAGCTGGGCTCCTCACATGCTCGCTACTAACTTTTTTTAAGCCGGGTCTCCGACATTGACGGCGTTGTGTCGGACAGATTTGTGCAGCTGTGTTAACGAGGGAGAGAGAGAGAGGGACGAGTGAGAGGAAGTGCTGCGCGAATGCGCTACGGCGCTCTGCAAAAATCAATGTGTGGCGGTCAGCGTTGACATTGTGGCGGGCTGCCACAGATAAATGAACATATGGGAAACACTGGTGTAAAAATATAGTTTTTAAATGTTTGTATTGTGTAACTAATTTATTGTTAGTATTATGTTTAATGTCACTCCACTTCCAGCTGCTGTAATGTTGAAATTTCTCACCCGTGAGACAAATAAAGGCTGATCTTATTTTATCTTATAGGGGAAGCACTTAAGGAAAGTCACTCCTTTCAGTCCTTTTATTGAATATCCATGTTTGGCTCTCCAGGCAGTCTGAAGTTAGGAGATTTAATTCATCACTTTGAGTCAGTAATTCCTCAGAGAATTAGTAACTCAACACTTGAGAAGAATTTCTTCTACATTATATTCCAGGGCACAATTCACAATTAAATATATATCAAATATATAAATATATTAATAGGTTATTCCTTGATTACTGATCAATCACAGATTCTGGAGGACAGCCTCCTTATGCTGCTGGACGTAGCGGATCAGACGAGAGAGTATCAATGATGCGCTGTCTGCTCAGTGTATCTTTAGAGAAACAACATCTCCTGTTCCCAAAAATTCATGTTCTTATATGACACGCTTTGTCACCACTATGGCAGTATCTGGCCCATCAATGACAAAAAACGTTGTTTTGTAGGTATTCTTGATGACATTTAAGAGTTTGTCATTTGGAAAACCATTTTAAAATGTTGATGACTCATGACATTATTTCTCAGTATAATGCTGCTGAAGCACACTGATGACTGTACAAAAACAACTTTTTTGTTTTGGTGAAACTGGATCAAATTTGATGGATTAGAAATATATTCTAGTTTTCTATCTGTCGCCCAGCTGCTCTGCCTCAACTCTGATTCACAGAGTTTCCTGATGGACAGATAGCTTTACTTGTGGCTGAAGTTAGTTAACAGCTAACTACATTACATTTAACTGACGCTTTTATCCAAATGTCAAAGTCGCACATGGAGCAACTAGGGATTAGGTGTCTTGCTCAGGGGCACACTGGTGTCTCACCGTGGATTCGAACGTGGGTCTCTCACACCAAAGGCAACTAACTGTGCAACCACTGGTCATGGTAGCTCTGCCCGTATTGGGAGCTTGGAGCACCGGGGGAGTGTTATACACTGTATAAAGGTGTTGACACCTTTTCTCAAGCGCTGGAGGTTTTCAGGACAGAAGCCAAATAAGGAGGCAAATACCGCTGCATTTTCTGTTTCATGGAAACTTTCTGTTTCTGAAACCGTACAGCTGTGAGCAGTGTGGCAAAGCGTTCATTACATCAGGTAGCCTACAAAGACACAGACGTGTTCTGCACATCTAAGAGGCAGGTTGATGAAACGAGGAAATGAGGCGCAGAGAAACTATACTGGTGTGAACAGTGTGGTAAAACTTTTCCTCGGGCTTGTTCCCTTAAAAAACACCAACGCACTCACACTGCTTAATTGTGAGCGTTGTTCAGAGCTAAGCTGGCTGTTTCCTCCCGCCTCCTCCTCATGCCCTGATAGCTGTGTTGTTATATTCTGAGCTTCTCTACAAACTGAGGGATAAATGTAACACTTTTACACCACATCACATTCACTCATACACAAGTGTTTATACACCGGTGGAACAGCAATTCGGGGTTCAGTATCTTGCCCAAGGACACTTGGACATGCAGCCTGGAGGTGCCTGGGATTGAACCGCCGATCTTCCTGAGGAAACAGCCGATATCACACTGAGAGATAAACAACAGTAACTTTATATTCTGAGCATCATGCATGTTACCGCAGACACTAGTCACAAGGTCACATGACCCACCCTCGCCCCTCTGCTGGAGGGAGGGTCCTGGAAGAAGTGGGTCAGAGTCGGGCTGTTTCAATGGTTTTCACTACGTTCCTCTTCGTTTGTCTGCATTATTACTTTGTTTGCCCACATTTTACCTCAGTCGTCAGACATTTTTAGTTATTTTAACCTTAGTGGAAGCAAGCCTAATGTCTTTTTCATCTTTTTGTAGCCTACTTCAGTGAGTTTCAGTTTGACAGTGACTTTGGAAGTTGAGTCAAACTTTTTTTTAACGGGTACAAGTTTGGCAGAGGTCCAATCAGACTCAGGCTACCAGTCTCCGGATGGAGGTTCATGGTGTACAGTTCCTGCCTGCCGGCTAAGAATAATTCTTACGGCCGTTTTTGCAACAGAGACTTTTGCATCCCCACGACAGTGGGCGGCCGTGAATGTAGGTCTGAGGAAAGCTGAATTAGTCATCTAGCGTTCTGCGTTCCCACCAAATGCGAATTTAATCCTCGCAACGCTTGCCTTGAGGGTTGTGTTCACACACAACGCGTATAAACTGTCAGCAGCTTTTGAAATGTTTGTGTTCTGAATGAAGTTTGGATCGATCAGGGCTATGCGATGCTAACTTGTTCACAGTAAAGTACAACAAAATGAAATCCACAAACAGCATTTTGATGTAGGTGTAGATGAGATGTAGGCGAGAACCCTCTCCTGAGACAGTGACAGGTCCTCTGGAGGTGGAGTAGACTTTCAACTGGACATCAGCCAGGAGAAGGCTAGGGAGTGTGAAAGCTTTGGTCCAAAATGATTTAGTTTCACTCTTGTCCTTGCTTGCTTTCCTCTCCTCCCTATCCAACGTTTACTCCAGCTGGTCTACTTGTTTTGTCGGGAGATGCAGTGGCTAGTTATCATTACCAGTTTAATAAAGGTTATATGACGTGAAATTAGAATCAAATAAATGTATGAAGTCTAGAATGGTTATTCAGTTTGGCCACAGTGACAAAGAGGATGTGATTAATGCTGCTTTCCCACCAAAAGCAAACCAAGCGTTGTGGGCGCTGCGTTTCCATACAAAGTCAATGCAAAAAGTCTATTTCAGTCGAAGGCTGTTTGGGAAGTCTTAAACACCAAAACCCATCATCTCCAGTGAAGTAAGATTACTGACTCTACTCATGAATGTTAAAATGACAATTTAACCTTGACCAGAGACATAACCTCACCCTGAACCAGGCTGCCAGGACCTCTAAAACGGAGAAAGGCCATAAACTGAGACCTAACACACATACTCACAGAAGATGCCTCCTTTATTCGCGCTGATGGGCGAACTGATAAGATACCAGATAAAAAGACTTTCAGTCTACTTTCATGACACCCCCAGAGGACAAAGAGGTATAACCTTCCGTTGTTCTTTAACTTCATCTCCTTGTAAGCAAGTATCTAATACTGTCTGTGTTTTATTGTTGATAACTGATACCATGTCTTAAATACTTTCTTATAGATTTTCTTAGTACGATCGTTCCTGGAAGTTTTTAGTTAAGCTTTCTTCCTTTTCTAAAATGCTCAGAAATTAAGAACTGTATTACTGTTTATGTTAAGAAAAGAGTGGATATTGTGAAACTACACCCCAAACTGACGTCAGATATTCGAAACTGAGGACTGATAAAATACCTCGCCAGTAGCCTACCCAACTTAAGAGAGCCAAGCTGGGGCTAACGGCCCCGTTTACTGCAAGAGTTTCCCGCAACCACCAACCAGGCAAAGGACTCCGGGGCATCCTCGCTGGCAAAGACCAGCTTGAGCCGGCCGCGCAGAATGAAAGCAATGAACGAGTCTGATGGAGGAAACAACAATCTGTAAGGCAAAACCAAACTCTGCATTTTGGTTGGTGTCCTTCAGCCATGAAAATCCTTTTTCCTTTAGTCATATCCTTTCCACAATAGCCAAACTAAATTCACATTAAACCCCGTTACTTCTGTTCTACCTCCCATTGATTGAATTCTGGTTGTTTATTCATTGTTGTTTTATTTTATAGTATATATAAACGTGTCTCTGAAGAACATCTGAGCTGTTTCAGTGCGTTGACTCTTCAGAGCAGGTTGAAGGTAAGACAACTGAACACATATCTAATAAATCTTTGAACATTAACTTTGTGCGATTCAGTTCACACCACCACAATCATGGATGGGGAAGACTTCTGACTTGACAGTTGTCCAGAAGACACTCACTGACCCCCTCCACAAGGAGTGTAAGCCACAGAAGGTCAGCGCTGAAGGGCTGGCTGTTCACAGAGCGCTGGATCAAAGCATATTCACGGAAAGTTGACTAGAAGATTAAAGTGTGGGACGAAAAGGTGCACAAGCAACAGGGACGACTGCAGCCTTGAGAGGATTGTCAAGTAAAGCCGATTCAAGAACTTGGTGGAGCTTCACAAGGAGTCTGGAGTCATCCAGAGCCACCACCAGTGTGAGCGCATAAATTAACCTTTTTCAGAAGGTTTCCAGATTTGCGTGTTAAACATTCCTTATCCTAATATTGTGAGATATGGATTTTTGATTTCCGTGAGCTGTAAGCCGTAATCGTCAAAATTAAAACAAAAAAGGCCTGAAATATTTCACTTTATATGTAATTAATCCAGAATAATAAGTCAAACAGTGAAGTTCTGCAACCACAGCTGTCAGTATTTTACCGTAAATCAGAGATTTGACAGGTTTCAGCAGTAAAAGGATTGATGAGGACTCAGGAATGAAAATGAGACTGAACTGTATTGTGTTCCAGCAGTATTTATTGTCACAGGTCAACACTCAGGAACAACAAATAAATCCTCATCAGGCACTGGCATCTTGACACCAGCAGCAGAAACAGAACGACTTTAATACATGTGAAGAATCACAGTAACTAACTTCACTCTTCCTCCAGTCAGCTACAGCAGGAGCGTCGGGACAGAAAGATCTCTCATCACGCTGGAACATACAAATGTCTGGTTAAACTTACGAGACAGAAACATAACAGCCAAGCAGCAGCACTTGTTTTCCACCACTCAATGCTCAGAGTATCACACAGAAGACATGTTAATCATCACAGGTACGTGAATCTAAACTACACTTACAGAACGTGATGCACCAACATAAACTGACTCGATTAAGAAATGTCAAAAATTCCACAATTAAATGTTAATTGATGACATAATGTTGGCGGAACTTGTGGAAGTGCAGTCTGTGGAGCGCACACAACAGAGAGACCAGGTCCCCTGTATTCAGCACACCACCGCTGCAGAATGAATAATCACCCGACTAACATGTCACACAATCATTAATATCAACGCGCAAGTGATGATTTTAACTCACACTCACAGCTTCCTGCGTATCCTGTGTGTGAGGCGAGCGACAGAACATGGTCACAGCTGTGCACTTTCTCTCCATGTGGTCTCTTTGACGAATCTTCAAATATCCAGATGTTGTGAAGGATTAGTCACAGTGCTGACAGCGGTGGCGTTTGAGTAAATGCTCCGTACTTGTATACCCATAATGTTCAAGTTTGACTAATGTATTACCACCTGTGACAACCAACTGCAGGGTGTGCACAGAAATCTGATCGATCCCCCGTGACATTTCTTAAATATCGTTTGAATCACATTATCAAGGTGCAGTGTGAGATCCTGTGTTATTGAAGCTTGAGCCATTCCTCAGGCTAAGTCAGGAATTCTCCTCCTCTGCTGCAGACTTTATTTATTAAACCTGTTAAAGTGTGACACTAAAAAGCAGACGTGCCCCTTAAAGGCCGGGGGACGCTTTAAACAAATAAGTTCATATGAGGGGGTGTAGGTCAACATCTACAAAGAAAATCATTTATAATAAATTTCTTTCGACCCTGTTATCTTTGTAATACTGTGTCAGTTTGTCCCGGTGTGTTGCAGGACGGGCAGTAAGCTACTAATACTGCTTATGATATGCCTTGTTAACAGCATTTCAGCTGCTCAGGGGAGTGCAGAGCACACTGTTATTTCTTGGTGTTTAAAAATGAAGCCTTGGAGACAGAGTTTAACAGTGACTCACAGGGATACAGTACTCAATAACAGTTACCATGGGAAGATAAAGACTTAATGACTTTTGTGTGTTATATATATGTTCTGTTACACTGATATTCATATGTGGTGTTCTGTCAGAAGATGCAGTAACTTAAACGCACAGTCAGTTAAACAAAGAATGTAAACTACGAAGCGTAAAATGTCTTAGACTTAAGTTAAAAATGGTGGCTGGTAAAAACCAGCTGTTTGTCCTGGAACCTCAGCAGTTACACCCCCACATGAAGAAATTTTTAGTTTTAGCCAGCGCCAAAGGAAAATCCCCAGCACCAAACTGATAACAGTGAAAAGTCAGTGACTAATGAAAAGAGACTGCCGCTTCTCAAGACTAAAGAGAAGCTACCGTGCATACAGCTCATACTGCAGAAATTGTATAATGGAAAGTGTTAGTGGTTTTGAAACATTGACTTTTTCAAACCACGGGATACCTTGAAACCAGTAACAGGCCCATGCCTTGTTTACAGTCCGTTACAAACATATCACAGGTAGGATTGGCCCAAATGTTTTAAGCTTCAACAGTAACTAACAGCGAATAATTGAAGCTTCGCCTCGGGGGTGAGAGGGAAAAATCCTAAATCAAAATCCCAAAATGTATTCAAATGAGATTTTCCTTAACTATTCAGTTTGCAATAACATCGCCACCTATTGTCCAAATTGCATGAAATGCAGCACATGAGTTGTATATAAAAAGGGACTTGTGGTTATGGAGATATGAAATGAATCTATGTCTATGGGAGTCTCATTTGATATCAATTAACAGCGCCACCTAGTGGCTGATTGACACCACATTTCACGGAGCCCCTAGGGAAGGCGTCCGACATAAGGTCCCCAAGTTTGGTGTCGACCGGACATCCCTAACCTATGACATCACTTCCTGTTTTTTGCGTTCGGCCTAAAAACAATGTTGTAATTCGCAATTTTTGCTGATTGAAATAAGTTGTACAAACTTATCAGCTTCGTCCAGAGATGGTCTGTGCCAAATTTGGTGCCGGTGGGGGAGTTAATTAAAATAGGTTTCAGTTTTTGCGATTTTGCAGAAAACAAATGTCATTGCACAGAAGCGTGTCCTATACCATACGATCCGGCAGCATCCCCTAAACACGTAGATATAAGGTTTATGAATGAGTGATGTACTGTGCTATAGTTATGAGGCAAAATGTCCTTTGGTTGAAAATGCAATTTAAATGAATAGGATTTCCCCACGGTGTTCAAGCTTCGATTATAGCGCCACCTTTAGGCCGAATTGCATGAAATTTCTCAGGTGCCATCAGGGGCCAACGGGGAAGAAATGAACCAAATTTAGTACCAATCAGACTTGTGGTTATGGAGATGTAAAATGAATGCTAGTCAATGGGATTTTGACAAACGTCTTTGATCGGCAATAACAATAACAGCGCCACCTATGGGCATATTAGGGTCAACTGTGGTGCCTGGAGTCAGGAGACAATCCTGAACAATTTGTCCCAATATTCGTGTCAATGCGACTTGTGGTTATAGAGGAACAGATAATTGCTTTCAAACAGCGCCACATAGGAGCCCCTCCGGAGGGCACACTCGTGACCAAGATTGGTGTTGATAGGCCATTCCCCAAGAGCGTTTACCTTCCTTGTAGCACTCCCTAGAGGAGTGTGTGAATGTCTTGCTTCCTGCTTTCTTACAGTGCAGACGCTTTGCTGCTTGCCTCTGCTGGCATTCTTTTGCAGACACTTTTTATTCTGCTGCAGCTGCTCTTGAATACTTTTAAACCACTGGGACTGTATAAGATAAAGTAGGCTATTACTTACTTTAAACACTTTTATGATCTTAATGCTACACGAGTGCAGCCTATCAATAGCACTAGCCTGTACTGCAGTGACTGGAGTTATAGCTAATGCTAATTAGCAACAAGATGCCCCCTTCTCCACGGACGACTTCTACAAACTTCTACAGAAAATAGCAGTGTTGGAAACCAAGATCCACAGGTTAGAAGTGAATGTGGGAATGAATGGACTATGTGGGAAGGACACTACTTTACCGTGGACCCAAACAGTGGTAGTCCTACCTAACATCCCATCCTCACACAGAAGGGTGAGAACTGAGAGTAAATCGGAAAGTTAAAAGGCTGCAGGGAAAGCTTACGCAAATCTCCAGGTTCATTCTGACATCTATAAAGAGAGACTTTGCATTTATAATTTAGAACTGAGAAATACAAGGCGGTCCCAAATCATCACCAAAAACACTAATATTAGTACTATATTAGTACTGTCGACAGGCGAACCGACCCTCCATCCACCAGGGCCTGCAATGAATTTGCCGCCTCCTTCAGACAAAATTCAAACATTAGACAAGCAGTCAGTGCCTCCATGTCAGTAACAGGATATGTGTTGTCCCTGTGTCCACTTAAAAACAATTCATATAGCAAATTGATTCTATTAACCATAAAAACCTTGAGGGCATAATACAACATCTGAAATCCGTGCCATTTCCTCACATAACTTTAGATATATCGTTACATTCAGGGCATGTTTGTCAAGTCAATTTACATACCGGAGCAGAATGGGCTTCCATTCAACTTTAACTACTTAACATTGGCTATCAGCTGTGCTGAGGTAACATTATAACTAAAGTTTCACAAAAAGAAAGATGAAAAACAGCTGCAGGCATCCAACATACTACGCTTGTTATTTAGTTATCTTCAAAAAAGGCTTACCGTTCACACGGTTTCTCTACTGTCCCTCAGTATTACGACATTAGTCCAACATCGCCGAGTCTACTGGCCAGTTTTCACTGGTCTCCCGATTTGATTACAATTATCAGGTCAACTATCCGATATCTCGATGGGAAATTCAACCTTCAAACAGGATAAAGAGGTCTTTTCTCTCACTGTGTGACTACTCGATACTTTTAAAGCAACCAGTAACTTTTAAGACAACAACCTCCCCGCATCGTTCAAAACGTAGTCAGACTCTCCACCGGAGCACCGACAGTGATTGTGTACAACCAAAACACAGCTGCGGTGAATGAGACGGAGCAGATTAAAATATCGCTTGGTGCACGTTCCTGCCTTTTACTGGTACTGCTGGTAAAGCAGAAACTTCTTTTATTGTGCACATGACAACAAACTTCTTGAATTGTTGCAATGGCAAAAACAACATTAGACATTTTATGTTATGAGAAGTTTTGTGAATGTTTTGCTTCATTATAAAAATTATACCCTGCTGGGCTGCACTGGGAAAATGGGAAACACTGGACTGTATGTGAAGTCATTTCCCTATTTAGGCTTCATTCAAACAGGCGGTCATTTTAACTGGTTACCAGCTGGTTGCTTGTGCCACACAACCGTCTTTATGGCTAATTTGAGCCTCTGACCAAACGTCTTTTACCAACTGCAGGTGGTGCAAAGAAAAGAGAAATGTTTTCTTTCAGCTTCTCTTCAAGATGAAAACAGGAACCACGGAGACACAAACCCTGGAGCGGGTTTTCAGGCTCTGATCTCTAACAACAGAATGAACGGATGATACACGGACCCTCGAGACTCTTCCTCGTGTCTTTAGTCTCGTGATGAAGTCATGAACACTGACCTGAACATCGGTGCTATCAGAGCACGAGGCTGCTGTTTGGCTCCTGCGGTCCGGGTTCTGGTTCTCCATCGTCCTGCAGGTCTCCGCTGTGACTGGTGGACCGTGTTGTCCTGGACCGAGTCTGGATTCTGGTCTCGGAGCTCTTCAGGCTGAGATACAGGAGCGCTGCGGGATCCCGCGGAGTGTTCTCGCGATGTCACGGCGTCTCGCCCCGCCCCTTAGTTACTGTCGCTAAGGCCGTTTAGAAACATGGCTCCTTGATTTCAGGCAGAAGATGAAGTTTAGTTAGTTGGTTTCCTGAAACCAGCTGATCATATTTGATGTGTATGAGGGAGTGTGCTTCACACAGAGCAGAGTTTTAATGAAGCGCTTGTTATTATCACATCAGAGGCTCATGAAAATATCCTGCTGAAGCTTTTTCTACAACAAAGACAGAAATAACTTCATGTGTTACATTTAATGTTGAATTTACAGGAAGGCAGAATCATTAAGAATTTGAAATCAGATGAAACATCTGCTGCTTCTCTCGGCAGCTAAGAGAGTCCAAACACATCATTAACATCACAGTGAAGCTGTTTGTTCACTTAACGGGCCATCGTGTGTTTGTCCAGGTCGGCTCTCTATTCAAATGGGGATCAGCTGCTTGAAAAGGCGACTGATGCGCATTTTCACCTCTCTTCAGGTGATCAGCTTGAATAGGAGGCAGAGAGCTGAACATGTGGACATCAGCTGGCTATTCAGCTGCATTAATGAGCAGCCCAAACAGATGCAAACACAAAGCCACTGAAGGAAAACTGTGTGTTGTGAATGTAGCCTGCAAACCTCTTTAGTCTCCGTTAATACAGAAGAAATTACATGTTGTTGAAAAGAGCATTACTTTCTTTTGTTCTTTCACATCGGTTACTATTTGTTTATAGCGATGTCCAATGATAGCTTCCTCAGTATGTAGGTTTACCTGCTTCAAGAACGAGCTGCTCCGTATTACTGCCACAATAATCCTTTGCACTGTAGAGATTATTTAGATGCTTTAGTAATAATCAGATTGTACTGGCTGCCTCTGCAACTGCAAAGGAAGTGGTTTGGTTGGCTACATGTCCATAATAAAAGAAACCGGCAACAATAGTGTCTAGGCAGCAAGCTGATATTTTAAAGTGATCTTATCAAAACCTTCATGGAGATTTAAAAAGGAAAATAATTTTATTAAACAGAAATAGGTAAAGATAATCAACCAGCAAAGCAAATACCATGCCCTAGAAATAACCTGATGCACAGCAGATGAAATACATATTTAAATATATAGTAGATAGAGAAGACTAATTGTACTTTTTCTTGAGTAAAGATTTTGAGTTCTCTACCCGCCACTGACCAGCAGCACCAGTACTAGTGCTACATGGTGAACATGAGACAGACAGCAGAGACGAGGGCGAGCAGAACAGAGTCAAAGCAGCAGTTTATGGTAAGATTGATGATGACATGGCTTATTTAGTTATCTAGTCAAGGGCTCAGCTGAAGTGATTTCTTTACTTTAGGAGATTTAGAGGGATGTCAACAAATGCTTTGTCCGGAGAGTGGGCTGACCAGGGACAAACTCCTGGGCCACTTTTTAAGAAACTTGTGTCCTGAGGTGTGCATGTGCCTCTGCTAGCAGTAGTCAATGTTCACACAGAGAGACGAGCATCCTGCAGTATTTTAAGAGGAAGAGGACGGATGTCGCAGGAGCAGGAGTAGAACAAAGTGAGGAGGACGAGCTTGTAAGTTGTATGGATAGCTAGTAGACGTAGTAAATTCTAAAACTCACATAGTAAAAGACTTTGTTAGACCAACAGCATGTCATCAGAGTTTGCAGCGAAGACAGTTCTGTGTTCACAAACAGGTGCTGCAGGGAGAGTCAGGGCCAAGTGAGACACAGCAAACATCACAGACAGCTCACAAGTCTAACATTAGGATAACTAAATACATTTGTACTGTGGCAGCTACATGACTAGCAGCTGTTCCACGGTTTTTGTTCTAGTTATATTATACTCTGTCTCTCTGACCCTCTCCCTCTCTAGTCTATTCTCCTTCTTCTGTCTCTGCAAAGACCCTCTTTCAGCCACACTTAAAAGTACAGTCTGTTTTAAAAAGTCATTAGAAGTGAGCATTTATGAGCTTTATTAAAAAGTGGCCATGCCATTCAAAGTCGCTCCTACACCCCTCATTTGCTAATATTTGGGGAGGATGTCTTCTCTGTGGCAGCGGCAGGTATTAAAAGCACAGAGGACAAACACACAAACAGAGCAACACAAACCTGATAGGCCTATAAATGTTGACATGTTTTCCCCTCATCTAGAAAAAAGAGTCAGCCATCATGTTGGTTTAATTTGACCTGACAGTCACATGTCTGTGATCATATTCAGGCCACAGACAGTCTGATCTTATAGCAGCCACAGACCATCTGCTGCTTCCAGACTTTATTCTGGGGAAGTTTGTCTGAATAATATTTCCATTTGATGGAACGTAGCAGCCAGAAAAACATGGAGGATCTGGTTTAAATATCTCACTCAGTGTCAACACCATATAGCCGAACTTCACTGAAGAGCTGGAACAAGTTGAACACAATAAATATGAGACGCTGTCAGACGAGTGTTTGTTTCTTCAGCTTCAAAGTCATTAAGGTGAAATGTAAAATCAGTGTTTCTGCTGTTGAAATCTGTGAATTACTGAAGCTCCAGCAGCTGCTGGGAGTCTGGGAAACCAAACCATGGCCTAAGCCAAGGGCCTCACTTTGTGCTGAAAAGTGGTGGGGACAAGATGAGAAGACTGTTAACACTATTTAGCAGAAATATGAAATGCTGACATATTGGCCCTCATTTATGAAAAGTGCGTACACCAAATTTCCAGCATACACCCAAAACCACGGTGACTTTGAGATTTATCAATATGGACGTTGGCGTATGGCACGCTCAAATCCTACGCCAGCTCAGGAGGTGGTGTACATGTACGCAAGTTTTGAGTTAGTGCGGAAATGCGCAAGAAAACAATTCCTAACACCACAAAACGCACTGACAAACTAAAAGATACATTTGAAACATTAATTTTGGTGTTTATATTTGAGCAACACAGACTTTATACAGCCTACATAATATTTGAGCAGTCAAAACATGCTTTGATTTGTATTTGGACTAGGACGAAGAGCATGAGCGGATGGCTTGAAGCACTGAGACTGGCTGCCCAAATGGACACAGCCCCACGCCCTTTAGGTGAGGCTGGCACAGACATGTCGCGCACAAAGCCCTGCATTTATTATAAGACAAACTTTATATTATGACAGCAACAGCGAGCACCGACACCCCCGCTAAAGGCCCCGCGTCCCCGGACTCTGGTGCACGCTGATCCCGGTTCATGTGAGAGTCCTGGGTCAGTGCGTAAAGCCCAGTCCCGGACGTGATGGAGCAGCTTTTTATCAGAGCAACATGCTTTCATTTGGAGCATATTAGGGACTTAACTTTGATGGGCGTTTTAGCAGTGCTAAATCCATCTCTTGGAGCACCACAAGTAGCCAATTTATAATTAATATATAAAATATATTCTAGTTTGCACGGAACGTGCTCCACATTCGGGTGGTACGGACGTGGTGCAGTTCATCATTGTGTTTGGACAATGTTTCACTCTGAACATAAAAGAAAAGTTACAGTGAGCAAGTCCGTGCTCGTCCAGACCCGTGTCCGTGCATAATAGTCCCAGGACAGCACAGAGCATTGTTTCCCAAAGCCACAAAACATTATGAAGGCTTGCTTTGCACGCTGGGGGTCCACCGCGCCCTATCTGTCCATATGTCCTCCGTTCATCAAAGTTATTGAACTTTTATGAACCTTTCTTCTCTCTTCAATACTTGCGCAAGGGGAAGTCATTCCATCAATTGAGGATAACCCTATCAAATGACTTGAAAAGTGGTACAACAAGTCCCTATCAGGCTGGAATAACATGAAAAACAAGCAGAGGACTGGTTGAGGAGATGACTTTTAATGACTAAGAGACAGCAGCTGAGGTTGTTGCCTGTTTAAGACCTGGTGGCCTGACTGACCAGTTACACAGAAGCCATTGCCATGGATACCTCGCGGAGCGCCTGTCTGTTGATCAGGAGTGCAGAGCGCCCCCGCAGATCCAAGCCATCTGAAAAGGCCTTATATGAACCCCGTCACAACTATTTACAAGAAATTAATTTATAACGTTCCAAAAACCTTTAACATAATGACGCCTTAAAAAGCGACCAACCATTCACACAGTAAAGTGTATACAGGCTATATGAGTGATCAATCGACAACAAAGTCAAAGTAAACATTAGACACAGCCTGTAACAAGCAACAATATGATGCACGTGGGTCAGATTTTCAGGTTGGGAAATCCGGAATTCCGGATTAATCCGGGAAAATCCCATCCCTGATTATTTGGTGACTGGTAACCTTTAGGGTTTTTTGCTACCTTAGTTATGGAGTAATAGCCTGTTTTCCATCATATTGTCCACCTTTAGATGGCCTGCATTAAAACACAGGGCGCATTGTCACAGATGCGCTTTTTGTAGTCCATCTTCAGAACATTGTAGTTTCATAACGTCGGGCCACATCAGTAACAGTTACGTCGCCTAGAAAAGAGCAGCCGGATTCTCTCAGACCACGGTTGTCTTTTCCTAAGTCCTTATGGATTCTCCTTCAGGAGATCTTTTTGACTTTTCAGATGCAGCCCAGGTCTCAACCCAGTTCACACCTGTGGAAGATTTTGGAGCAACATGTGAGACAAAGCTCTGCGCCACCATCTCTATAAGACCAGATGATGGAACAGAAACTCATCTTCAGATCCAACGAAGGTTAAAGTCAAGGGCAACTGCACTTGGTTGAAGATACTAGATCTCTGTAGTGACTCTGATGCTGTATGTCCTTTTGTTCTGTCTGCCTGCGTTTGTGTTTCTTTGTCTTTGCTGTTCTCAGGTCTCCCTAAATATACTGTATACAAATACACATACCAAAATTAGAGAAACAGAGAAGACATTTAATGTTAAGTCCAACAGAAAAGCCTTTCTCAGCCTTGAGCCACAGTGGAAACTCCTTTCTCACAGGAAAGCATGACACAAAACAATCTCACAGGTCATTATATCAAAACACTGGTACACTTAGTGGAAATTATAACACCACATAAGATGAGCAAAGAACAAAGTAATGACATATAGAGGATTATTAAAAGTACATACAGGTAAAATCTATTAGTTTCTATTACAGTTTCCCCTTTGGCCGTCACGTGGTCACATTAAGTTTATAACTGTCAGTTCATCAATGAATGCTCTCATCTCACTG